TCGTGCATGCACGGTGGTCTAACACCCCGTGTAAAACTACAGTAAAAATTTGTCGTGAAAGTTTGTCGTCTGTTGAATGATCAGCCGAATTTACATATATATTTTAAACATTGTTAATAAATTTGATAAAGATGAAATTTGGGTTGAATAATTTTGGCAAAGTTTGACTATCATAAACTATAGGTTTGTAATTATTGATAACAACAAAGTAGCCAACGGTTGGATGTACAAAGAAATTATCATCTTAACTTAAATTGCTATTTTTTAAGATCTACTACTAAATTTAATACAGGTGTAGTTTTAAGTGCACGACAATCTAGCATAACAATTATCCCAATATTTACCCACAAATGTAAACGAACAAGTCGAAATGATTTCTTTTTGCAACGTCAACTTGTCAGTGATTGCAATGATTTCTTTTTTTGCAACGTTAACTTGACAAGTTAACGGTGTAAAAAATTGCATAGTAGTATAAACTTTAAACCTTAAAATTTTATTGTTTTGAAAATCAACGGGCATCAGGATAGTGTTAGACAAGAATATCTGCATACTAAAGAATACTCTGTTGGGTGTGAGCCTTGCTTCATCAAAGAGGCGAAAATAATAGGGAACTAATGCAACAAACAATTATGCCCAAATATCCCACTCAAGTCTGTTACTGATTTGTCAAACAAAGTATTCTTAAAAGAATGTATATAAGTTTGAAGAGGCAAGACATATAAATTTCAAGAGAAAGGTCATCAATAAAGGAGTCATTTTGACGCGACTTACTAAAATACCTCAGAGGTGGGTGTATGCCAAACTATATTTTTGTTCCTTAGGTTCCAACAAGCACTGTAATTGAATTAGAAGTTCCCAACCCGAATTGGAGCCTATGTCCTACAAAGTACAAACATTGCCGGCCCGAGTCCTAAAACGAATCCCATCTGCAAAATATGAAATGTAGCTATGAGGCAAAGGATAGCTAAATGCCACAATATTGGGTGAAAAAGATTGTCATAAAACATTGTTTATTTCGTTGCCATTGTTAAAACCTTCTTTTTTTCTCTCTACTTCTTCAAAACTTTTGAACATTAAAACTCGAACAATGCTAAACGATAACATGAAAGACCAATAAGTTTATAATATATGTAGTATTCCATACAGGAAAACTATTAGAAAATGACCTCAAGAATTATTAGTTGTTCGTTACCTACCCTGTGGGGTTGCCCGAATTTATAACCGCCAAGGCCATGAAACTAACACATCTGACTGTTTTTTAAGTTTGGAGATCTCAAGTCCCCATCCAATAACTTCATCAAGAAAACAAGGAATCTGAAAAAAGAAAGCCAAACAGAGGACATAGTTAAAACATATTTACTCATAATTTAATTTATTTTTATCAACATGTATACTTACAAGAGTGCAACCATGTAGAGAGAATAGAATGGGTATTGCGGAATAGGGCACAAAATGCCATCGTTCTTCGATCGTATCAGTAGCTGCATCATCATGTGAACCTCATCATATGAACCTGAAAAAAATATACAACACCAATAATTAAGATTAATAATTATAATAAAGAGTATCCATTAACAGTTATTGCAATAGTTGTTTCTCTATAAATAGTTATCTTATTTATAGTGCAGGGCTTGAACCATCTGTCAAGAAAATATCATTAGGATCATAAGGGAATCCATCACGGGCTTCAACGCCAACACAAATTGCACCGCATAGTTTTTTGATACTCTGATTTCATTTAATAAGAAAGAAAACTTTAGGATATAAGCAACACAACTTCAACACATGCATGGTTTCCAGTGGAGGCTATCGCTACCTGGATGTGACTATAAGCACCAGTGGCTCTTCCAGGAATTTGCTTCAGGATTCGTAATGCTCGTTTGGTGGAGTCGCCATTAAAAAACATCAAACATGTACAATTATTAGTAACAAAAAATGGACCAATACAGAGTTAAACAACTCAAGATCAACTCATGATCTAGATAGGGGAACTCTGCAAATTATTGACTATTCATAAAGTGGTAAAAGATCTTACGGAATTGGACATCACATAAAGCAAGGACCTGAAATAAGAACAATATGTTACAAAGTTTAGACACAAAATTCTGCAACATTTTTCTTGATTACACTGTATGGAAGCATATTACACACCTCCCTGAAAAATGTGATTTGCTTCTAGGTAAGGGATTGAGGATTCCCGATATTGCAGTATAGTATTTGCAAAAGACAACAAGCAATACTAAATTCCCCTTGTATAATTCTTAATTTGAGATAATGAACTAAATAAAAACACAAAAAAAAGGTAGACTGTCAAATGAATACAAATCTTCAAACAATAGATGAAGCACCTGGACAAAAAAAGCATAATTTTATCAAACAAAGTAGATGATATTTAAGTGATCAATATTGTTTTTAAATTCTGACATACTATGAAAAGACATGCGCAATAGCTGCCTCACACCCCACCGGCAAATGAATATGAATCGAGTCCAGAATTATATATGTCAAAATCCCCGGCAATTGCAAACTCACAGAAACATGAAATTAATTTGAAGTAATTGTATCTGCCATTCCGGTTTTTGGCAATGAGCAATGTAGAAGGCTAGAATATGATCAATTCAAATCAAAATTAATACACATAAAGCAAAAGTTGACTTTTCTTACCTGTAGCATAAAGAGGAGTTCTAGTATCCTAAAACCCTCAAAACCAGGGCTAACGAAAGAAGAACAGTTGGTGCCCCCTAGTGGAAGCTTGTAGTAAACGTTGATGCACTCAAACTGCAGGTCAGACCCATCGCAAACCTACCTGCGGCGTCAATGTTGTGCTCGCTATTAAGCTAAATATCATAATCTCTACATCAGCTAGATCTTGGAAATATAAACAAGAAATGACAAATGTAAAAAAGAATTGTAAATTCCCAAACAACATATTCCAGGAAAAAAAATAATTCAATTAATAAAAATACACACAAAAAAAAAATTATGATGAAGAGGTTTAGGTAGAGCTGAGTGAAATGGCCGCAAGAGGCAAAAAGTTCTGCCAAAAAAAGTTTAGTTGCAATTTTACCGTACCACCGAAAAGTTCTCTGAAGCGCTTGCGTTCTCCCAACTGGAATCACTCGAATTCGCCGGTGAGGCATCGTTCTCCGGCACCATCGCATCTGAACTGCCCATTTTCAGCTGACTGGAGGACGTCGACAACTCCTATACTTTTTCCTCTCGTCTTTTTTTCTATATGTTCACACACAGGCAATGGCAGTGGTGGTGACCCGGAGATAAGCCTTTTCTTTTGGGCTTTTTTGTGCCTTGTGGCCAGAGAATTTCTTCTTTCAGATAAACGACAGCCGAGGCGAGATGGAGAAAGAAAATGAGAGACGGCTAGGTTTGAGAAAAGGGGAAATTGGGGGGAAAAGAAGACTTTGCGTGATTCTTAAGAATTAAGTTACCCTCTCGGCAGAGTCAACCATAATCTGCGGCAATCACATCACTACAGTTAGCGGAGAGGAGACAGGCACGCACGTCGGCCCAGATTTTTCGGGCAGGAAATCAAAGGTGCGATGCCGTTTCGAGAAAAGAAGAGAAATAAACCAGGTCATAATAGAATGACAGAAATGTAATAAAGTGCAGCAAATGGGACACGTGTCGACCAGCTAAATGGGCGAAAAGGGACACGTGTCAACGCCACAATGTGCCTAACTCGTTCATATAAGATATAAGATATATATATATATATATATATATATATATAAAAGAAATGAATTCCTTAATTGAGAGAGAGAATTCCTATTTTTTAACTCTTACCATTTTTTTTTTAATTAAGAAATGAATTCCTTAATTGATGAGATTCTTCACAAAGTAAGCTATGGCTTCTCCAACAACAACAACATACCCAGTATATTCCCAACTAGTTGTGATCTGGGCGGTCAGTTTTACGCAGACCTTACCCTTCTAATTATACAAGAAGGTTGTTTCCGTTTCCGTAGTGACCCAAGGTGCATTGCGTCGTTTAATATATTTTTTAGAAACTTCACTAATAGAAGAAGCACTAGAATTTAGTTGAGGCATTTTGATCTAATCAATTATTAGCACTATGTCAGGAGAATTGTCAACAATGACTCTTCCAGCTCCATTTACTAGAAGCTACGGCTTCTAGTAATAATCAAATTATTTACGTTTCATTAAGAGAATTGCAATTAAGTTTTTAATTTAGTATTTCAACAATTTCTTAGCAATCACTAAAGTATGTGTATATATGTAAATGAGTCGAATATTTTTGCAAGAAATATCATCCTCGAGGATTGAATTTGAGTCGGACGGTGGAAACCATTTAAATGTGCCAACTTTGAACATAAAACTCAAATAATACATTAACATAAGATCTAGCACTTCCTTTTATGTAGTAACAATGTAACAAAGTATAAGAACCCGTGCAGCGAACAAAACTACCAAGTTGAACATAATGCAACAGACAAACAATATAGGCCGTCTTCCATCATCTGAATTTGTTAAGAAATAAGTATACGTTTGTTAAGAAATGAGTATACATATAAGCTGTGGCTTTCAACACAGAACATAAACTTCCATTCACAAGCTTGTAGCATGCTCAACAAGCCACAATAAAGATGCACCTAATTCAATAGAACAGCAGAAGTTGTGGTGTTGACAAGGAGACAACCTTACGGTTCCAACAATATCAATCGATGCTTTCATAAAGCCAAAACCAATCAAAGCAAAATAACATCATCATAAATCCAAGGCACTGCCATACCCTTTTAAAATAAAAAGCAGAGAACATCACGGAACACAATAAAGTAGCGTACTCAACGGTCTTAATTCAAACTTGCCATGCCTATACAGACAATCTAACAAGCATAGAAGTTACTCAATAGCCGCTGTTCTCGCCGAAACCACCACCGAAACCACCACCACTGTTGAAGCTACGAGCTGGTCTCTCCTGAGCATAACTCACACGGATGTTCCTCCCATTCAATTCCTGCATATAGGGATTTGAGAATATAAAGGAACAAGTTATGGAAGCATTATTGAAAGAAGATGACTGGGTTTTTGTAGCACTACCTGCCCATCCATGGCAGACAGTGCTGAGGTGGCAGATTCATCACTGGAGAAGCTCACAAAGCCAAATCCTCTGGACTTTCCACTGTTTCTATCAGTAATAATTTTTGCTGCAGAAAATGGTAGGAAAATACATATATATGAGGGTGAGGTGAAGTAACAACATGCAGCAGCAAAAAAACACTGAAAACAATATAAGCTTCTACGACCAATGTATCCAAATGGTAGTTGCTTTCAGACACAGAATTGAAAAGAAAGGACAAATCCACATGGAAAACCCAAGGAAGAAGATAGCATCCAAAAAAAACATCTCAGACCACGGAAATCTGAGCTGTGCATCGAACACTCGATGCCCATATCCAGAAAGAAAAGTTAGCATTTACATCATGAAACAAGAAACAGAGATGGGTGAGTATTAGATACTCAAACACTGCATAAGGACAACTAGGCAAGATCGGTATGCTGCTAAAATCAACTAGTTGCACATCACTGAAAGAAACATATATCAGTGATACTGCCATCTGCAAATAAGAGAGTACCATACAAGTTTCTCAAAGAGTACCAAAATCCATAGATTCGCCCAAAAAAAAAAAAAAAAAAAAAAAAAAAAGATAGAGAACTTTTCAAATGCAAACAGCTGAACAATAATGCATCATCGTTAATCAAACAAAATACACAAAATACTCAATATCAGCAAGATAAACTCCATCTTCAGGATGTAAGCAAGCAAGCCTAAAAAAAGAAAAAAATATAAGCTAACTTATAAGAGAGAAAATGGGTGTTAATTAGTTACACTATCATCAAAACAACAGCTACTCACTCATTATGCTTAGGGTAGCTACACAGACTAGGCAAAAAGTTAAGAAAAACTCTGAATCCAGTCAAACTGATTACATGCCCAAGCACTGTAGAACATAATATATCAACACAAGTCCACAAATGCATTGGGGTGACATCCATTGCTTTAGCTCTTCTTCCAAGTCAAAAAGAAATAACAGACAAAATGGTTTCGTTCTCACTCACCCTCAGTAACATCGCCAAAGCTTGAAAATGCATCTTTCAAGGTCTGGTCATCAGTTCCCCACGAAAGCCCTGTGAAAAAATAAAATGCATAGTTCCAAAAGTGGTGAAGCATAAAAACTTACTGTGCAAATATGATAAATGGACAGAGAATGTGATATAAGAATAAACCTCCAACAAAGAGCTTCGATGACATGCATCTAATAGCATTAAACATGGAGGGTTGTCCATTCATTGCGCTGCTAGCAGATATACTCTGCCTCAACAGGGTTCCAAATTTGTTGTGAAATGCCATTTTACCGAAGCTGCAGATACAAGTGCCCAATGAATTACCGTTACAATGGAGAAGTAAATTGTAACAATAATGTCACAACAGAAGATTGTAGCATATAAATAAGAATACAAAAGAGAAGGTACATTAAAATATACTGCAAAACTAAGTGCAATATATGCGAGGAGTTTTTTTAAGCACACGGTGAAATTCAAATGTCAAAGTGTATTCTTTTTTTACCAAAAACATATACCCACATCAAGATATCATCAAATGAACTCAATACCATGCTGTAAAACACAGACAATCATAAAAATAGATATGAGGATGAATCAAAATTGCCACAGATAAAGGTTAATCGTATTTCTATGCAATCATTTCTATTATATGAACTGAATCCATCACCCTCAAATAGCCTTGTTTCATTCACTTAAGCTTTGCATTAAAATAAAAGAAGTCATATTTCTAAACATTATAAAATTATTTGGAACACCAATAAAGAATTTTTATGAAAAAATAATTAAAATGGCAGTAAAAAAAAATAATAATAATAATCTCAGCCAATTCTTTATCATATTCTCGTACTCAGGATTAGAATTGCAACAAGTAAATGAACAAGCTAAGGACCAAAATCAAACACAAAGAAAATAAAATGACAAAAAAAAAATGAAAAAATCCACTAAAACAGAGAATCTTTATCCAAAGAAAGATGAGAAACAAAACATTTCAACATTTTTTCAGCTTAAGCTTCTATCCTATCCAAGGGTAAGCAACAAATAAACGATGATATATATTCTACATTAAAAACTGAAGACGAAAATGGAAATCTAGAGATCACCTGTTTTTGAAGAGGGAAGAGGAAGGAAGGGTTTTACGGAAAAAGGGAAGTTCGAATAAGCGGCTAGGGTTTATGCTCTGCCGAGTCAAGATATATATATATATATCATTTTGTAGACGCTTAAATAGAGGCTAATCAGAAATTCATAATCACTCATCTTGACAAAATATCCGTGTGCGGTTAACTTTGTATATTTTATTGAAAATAATCTCTTTTTTTTTTCTTTTTAGTTTTGTATCTTTTTTTTTTTTTTTTCCAAATGACATCAAAATTTATAATTCAGAAAAAGCTAGGAAAACCTGGAATGTACACAAGGAGTTCACACCAAATGAAAACAAGAGGAGGTCCAGTACCCACAGTACTGCCTACACGAGACCCAAACTAATACAAACTACACACAACCGATAAAAAAGAACAGAAAATACAAGAATGGGACCAACAACACTGCTAGCAAAGCAACAAGCAAAGAAAAATATACCACTGACACTAGATCTAGTCCACTCTTCTCAGCATCTCTTAGCTCTGCATATCTCTACTCTTAAACTCAGTCCACTCCTGCATAGTTGTTTTGATGATCCAGGTTTTAGGTTGTCATTTGTTCTCAAAGATCCAGAGATTCCTAGCTCTCCACAGCTACCAGAGGATATAAGTGGATAATTGAATCCTATCTTCACAGCACTCCACTTTCTTCATTGAACTAATCCACCACCACCACTCCTTAAAGGTAATATGTTCTTGATAAATTCTATTCCAACTCACCGGGGAGAGTTTTCAAGTGGTCTGAGCTCTGCTGCAATAGAATAAGACATGCTCTAATGACTCATCACTCTCCCCACAAACTGTACACTTCAGGTCTACCTCCATTCCCTTTCTGTTTAAGTTCACATTGGTAGGCAAGATGTTAAAAAAACACCTCCATATGAAGTGCTTGACTTTTCCCACAACCTATAGCTTCCAGCATCTCAATCTTGCTCTGCAATTTCCTTCAGCTATAGCACTACACTCAGCCCTTCCTCCAAAGCACACCTTTTCATTTATCAAATTAGAGTAAGTTGATTGAACAGAAAACCTCCCTTTATGCAGAAAAGAACATGACCATTTGTCAGCAGCTCTTGGATTCAGAGATCTGATATTGAGAATATTTGTTGTTGTGACCTCCTCAAACAGAGTTCTCACAAGCCCTTCATCCCAAACACAACCTCCTGCTATCAACGGATCTTTCACTGCAAATTGGTTGCCATCAAGGTGGACTCTCAACAATGGCTTGATCCCAGATTCCCCAGGCCCCTAGTTAAAATCATTCAACTTCACACTCATCCCATTCTTAATGACAACATTCAAATGCTTCAGTAAAGTAGGAATAAAAGATGCCCAGGAGTTCCAGAGCCATGAGGCTCCATTAGACTTCTGATATTCAAACATTGAAGTCACAGAAAAGTACTTGCCTTTCAATACTTTGTTCATCAAGAGATCTGGATGCTCTAGGACTCTCCGTAGCTGTTCTAGGATCAGGGCCTTATTGAAGAGCCTTATATCCCAGACCATCATCTTTCTTAGAGCTGGCCATTTTATCCCATGACATCCAGTGCATCCCTTTAGTAAACCCTTACCCTTTACTCCACCAGAATCTGGAAACAGATTTACACACCTCCAGACAAAAACCCTTAGGTAACACAAAGCATGACATTACAAATATAGGGAGGGCATTCAGAACAGATTTGACAAGCACCTCCCCCCCAGGAGTAGATAGCAAATTATTTTTCCAGCTCTCAATCCTCACTTTTAACAACATCTACCACAAATTGGAAAGCATCAGCTTTAGATGCCCCGATTCCCAAGGGCAACCCCAAGTATCTCGAGGATCTTTTTACCGCAATCCCACTAAGCACATAACAGATAATTTTCTTTTGGACTTCACTGCAATTTCTACTCATAAATAGAGAGGATTTATTGAGATTTACCTTTTGCCCCGAGAATTGCTGATACTTCTGCAGAATATCTAATAACATGATAGCATTATCGGCATCGGCTCTACAAAAAATTAGTGCATCATCTGCAAACAGAAGGTGAGACAGCATAGGCCCTCTTTTGCCACTTTAATACCATGAAAGAGCCCAGAATCAACCTTAAATTTCAAATAAGAAGAGAATACCTCTGACACCAATAGAAACAGGTAGAGTGATATAGGATCACCCTGCCTTAACCCACGAGAAGGATTGACAAACCCACAAACTGCTCCATTAAGATTAAAAGAACAAGTAGAGGAGTATATACAGCTGTAAATCCAATTTATGAACACAAGATGGAAACCCATTCTAGCCATAGTGAGCTTAACACAATCTCACTCCACTCGGTCATATGTCTTCTCCATATCAAGCTTTACTGCCATTAAATGATTAGGACCAGATCTATATCTATGCAGAAAGTGAAATACTTCATGGGCTATCACAACATTATCTAATAACTGCCTCCCTGGGACAAAGGCAGTTTGAGCATGACTCACACAAACATACAAACAAACTTTAAGTCTTTCAACCAGAATTTTAGCCACAATTTTATAGAGAACCCCACATAGGCTTATTGGCCTATAATTGCTCAGAAATTCAGGATAGAGACATTTAGGTATCAAAGTAATTACTGTATGATTCCAATTCTTGAGCATGGTACCTGTAGAGAAGAAGCTCTTGATAGCACCGCACACATCACCCTTTATAAGGTGCCAAAAATGTTGGAAGAAGACAACAAACATCGCATCGACCTCGGGGGATTTGTCAGGATGCATAAGGAAAAGGGCAGCTTTGATTTCTTCCTCCTCAACTTGGCTGATTAGAGTAATGTTCATGTCTGGGGATATACTAGGAGCAATGTGCTGAAGAACTTCTTCCCCTCCAAAAGTCCCTTCAGATGTAAATAAAGAGGAGTAGAAATCAGAAATATGTCTTTGGATGTCTTCCTGGTTGTCACACACCATAATAGAGGAGATAGAGATTTTATGAATAGAATTCCTCTTCCTCCCGTGTGTTGTGTGGGCGTGGAAGAACCGGGTGTTCCTATCCCCATGCTTTATCCATAATATTCTGGACTTTAATCTCCAGAACAATTCTTCCTCTTTATGAGCATTATCAAGATCTGCTTTAGTTTGACCCCATTCTCCCCAGTCAACAGCTTCTCCTTGCATCCTCATGAGTTTCAACTTATCAGTGAGCACCTGGATAACTTTAGCATTGTCTCTCTTTAGAGGTTTATCCCAAGCCAGTAATGACATTCTAGTGCTCTTCACTTTCTCATGCACCAGAAACATCTAAGACCCTTGCACAGAAATATCCCAACCAGAAGCCACAGCCTCATCCACTCGGACCACTCCTTTCATTTTCAGCCACCTAGGGTCAAAAGTGAACCTCTTCCTCTTCTTCTGGAACTTAACATTAGTATCAAACGACATCACATTATGGTTAGAGGCACTTCTGAAGAAATTGGAAGCCTCCATCTTGGGAAATCTCAAGCTCCAATCTGTAGACACAAAGATCTTGTCTAGTCTCTCCTCCACATAACCTTCTTGATGCCTATTGTTCCCCCAGGTATAAAAAGCACCCTTTTGTTCTATTTCATTCATGTTCATATTAAGAATGAAGCTTCTGAATCCCACAAAGCTAGAATCTGGTCTCTTCAGCCCTCCCCTTTTCTCCTCATTACATGTGATATCATTCCAATCTCCAAAGATAGCCCAACAATTGCCCCACTGGCTTTTCTGCTCCTCAAGGAATTCCCATTGTTGCCTTCTAATATATCTATCACAGTTAATGTACACAAAGATCAGCCAGAACCATGCTCCCACTTTCTCCTCCTTAACTTCCATTTGAATACTAAACTCATTTCCCCACAAAGACCTGATTTCCACTGATTGATCCCACATCACAAGCATTCCCCCTCTAGTACCAATAGGTTTCTCAAAATGCCATCTATTCTCAAAACCAAGTTTCCTGCAAACAGTTCTTGTAAATTCATATGATTTTTTTATTTCAGATAAGAAAAAGATATTTGGGTGGTGGAGTCTTCTGACATCCTTGATTTGGGAAACTGTAGAGGGCCTTCCCAACCCTCTACAATTCCACACCATAGCCTTCATTTATCACCTTGGGGCCATTTTAGGTTGGCCTTCTCCACCTTCAGAATATCTGCCATCACTTTCCTTCTCTTCTCTTCTATCTCAGCAATACTCTGGTCTTCTTCATCCCCTGAATACACTATTTGATATAGGATATTATCTATATAAAGACGAGCCGGTCTGGCGAGCCGGTTGAAAAGAGCAGACCGGGAGCAAACCAAGCCCAAAGGCAGGAATACAAGCGATCGAGCAGCCTAAGGCTCGACCACACAGGCGCTCGGGCAGCCCAAGGCCCGACCGTACAGACGATCGAGTAGCCTGGCGCTCGATCAGACTTATCGAGCTACCCATCAATCGATCAGATGAGTGATCGAGCAAGCGGAGTGATCGAGCAAGCTGATCGACATAAACCTAGACGCGTGTATAGCAGACGCGCGTGAGGGTCTCTGACTGAGCTTCAGGAGAATATTTATCCCATGTGCAGGAGGGACACGTGTCGACGATGTATTGGGTGATAGCGATAACCACCTCTGACAGCTCCCAACGCCTTGCGCCACCTCTGACATGTGCGCGGCGTGTCAGAGTACGGACGGGCAGCTTGGGCAGCCAACTTAACCTTATCCGGGCAGCTATTAGGGCAGGTATCTCACCCCTATATAAAGGGGGTGAGCCTTTCTTCCTTGACAGATTCTATTCATTCTCTAAATTCCAGTATACTCATACACATACTGACTTAAGCATCGGAGGCTCTTCACCGGACCCAACCCCCAGTGCGAGAGTTATTTGCAGGTTTCCGGCATTCTACCGGCAAGGACAAGAACCGATCTACTCCAAACCGGACCCGGACGCTTACACTTGCATTACTATTAATTCTCTATTTCTTTTAGAGAAGAGAGGAAAACTCTCCTCAAGGGCTGGCTCCTCCATTCTCTGGAGTCTTCTGTCCACTGTTTCCCTTCTCTTACATGTTGCAGCATGGGGTTTCCTTAAAGGTTCCCCAATATCTTGTTGCCCACAATCCTTCTGTAGCTCCACCATGATATCTATGTTCTTGTCCCCAATTATTGTGTTTTTCACTACCATCATGGCTAACTCAGGGATATCTGGTTCCTCAGAGCTGCCAATGATGATGAGGTTCTGCTGCTCATTCTCCTCAACCAAAGCCTCTCTAGCATCAAAATCTACCTTCCTTTTGCAATTATCTCGACTTGACCCCATGATGGCTACTTGATGGACTGAGGCTGGGGTGTCACTGTTTGAGACTACTGGTTCCAGATTTGAATTTGGATGGGCGGGGATTAATGTGCTCCTGAGCTACTAGCATAGCTATTCCTCCCACTAGGAAAGGTCTCTGAGGTTTTTAGCCACTCCCCGAACTGACCATCAGTAACTTGATTCTTATCGATGTCTTCTATCTTCCTTTTACAGTTTCTCTCAAGATGTCCCAAGAAGCCACGGTAATAACACAGATTGATTAACCTTTCATATCGAAAGGCCACCCTGACACGTTGGTCACCTAATTTAATCGTTGTACATCTAGGTATAGGCTCCTTAGTATTAATCACATCCAGTATTTTAATGAAACTTCCCAAATCTCCTCCAACTTGCAGATATTGACATTCTTCACACCTTTAAAAATTCTCCCTATCTTGACACCAACATATGTGCTCATCCAGTTCAAAGGGAGATTTAGCACTTGAACCCAGAGTTTAACTTCATCAAACGCACCATGACTACTAACCAGACCAGGGAACCATTCCTTAAGAGCCATATATTGGTTCTCGTAAATCCAGTTATGTCTAGCTGCAACTTTATCTTTATCTTCATTTGAGGTGAAAATAAACTGGAAAAAATTCATACTGAGTTCTTTTACCTCCATTGGCTGCTTTAGCTTCCAAATGTATGACATAACTCTCTTTATTCCCAAAAGACTGGTCGGTCTATCTCTCATAATTTTTCCGAACAGACTCCTCCCACATTCCTCCTCACTAACTTTGACATCGGTCTTTTGGATTTCAATTTCTCCTGCCTCTTTTTTAGATAGTGAGAAATCGAACATTTTTCGCACAACTTCTGCATCTAGGTCACCATCTTTGTGCCTACCCGACGAATCACCCTCCATCTCACAACCACAATCAAACCGGAAAAGAAGATAGTAAAATATTACGAACTTCAACACCAGTAACTCACAATCCAATTGAATTACTACCGGGATCCCCAGGAATCACAAGAACGATACAAAGGAAGTTGCGGCTCTCAAGAGAGAGAATTTTGGCTCTCAAGAGAGAGAATTTTTGAGCATTTGTTTTCTTTTTTAGTTTTGTATTTATTACTATATAATACACATAAGAAAAAAAACATAAAAGAACGAAATTTTCCCGCTTCTTTTTTTGATAATTAACTTTTTTGAAAAGAACTGGACGCGAGGCCTAGGGCATCACCACCGGATGATCGGAAATTCCCATTGGGAAAGGCGGCCAGATTTAGTTTCAGAAACTTTGGATCTGGCGAAAAAAATGTCGACGAAGAAGGTTTTCGGAAGGGGCATTTTTTAAGCATTAGATAGATTAAGATGAAAGTTGATGATGCACATAAAAAAAAATATAAATTTCAGAGTTTGTAAGCAATTGCATAAAGTTAACTTTATTTTATTTTGAGTTTTTAAAGCTCGTATTATATATCATATTATATATTTGATTGAATTATTGTCATTCAATTACTATTAATATTGAGTTGATTGATTAAATAATTGTTAAGGTGAAATATATGTGTTGGGATTATGATGCTTTGAGTTGGACGTGCACAAGATTTTATCATGCAGAAGGAAGATTTTAGTTTTGATTCTCTGGTTTTATATTTGCTAATAGTCGCGTTTTACTTATAAAATCACGCACCATCTTTTCTGTTTTCTTTTATGTTGTTTTGTGCGTGTTCCTCACGTGTTGGGCACACATGCTTCTTTCTTATTGGTTCTAAGAGATAATGTTAGGAATATAATATGTAAGCTGGGGGTTTTGAGTGGTGCTTAAGTTTCAGAGCTCAAAGCTCGTTATCAATGGCGATATAACATTTTCTAATATAATTTTCGGTTTTGATGATTTACATGCTAAATTGAGCTCTAGTTTTCATGGTATCTAAAGCAGGTTTTTAATTTTCGATGGCGCAGAATGACGACGAGCATGATCGATAACGCATTACCCGCTACACTTACACTTGAGACATAGATCCACTCTCTCTTCATGGATCTGATCATCCTGGCTTGGTTCTGGTCACTAATCAGCTTACCGGTGGAAATTATCTCCATTGGAGCCATGCGATGAAGCTTGCGCAGGGACCTAAGTCAAGCTTGGATTTATTAATGGGACAGTGGTAGTTCATGTCTAAAGGTACAATCCATGGTTATCTCTTGGTTTCTTAATTCGATTTCAAAAGATATTGTGGAAGCATTCATTTATGCGCAAAATGCGAAACAACTTTGGGATGAATTAGCCAGAGATACGGTGAAAGTAATGGTCCCCTTAAGTATCAACTGCAGAAAGAAATTGCTACCTTTTCCCAAGGTTCACTTACTGTCACTGCATACTACACAAAACTGAAGTGTTTGTGGGATGAATACTCTTGCATTGTGCCTTTGCCTGAATGTGAATGTGGATCAAAAAAAGCTTACAGTGATAATGATATGGAGACTAAGTTGATGCAGTTTCTTATGGGATTAAATGAGGCATTTGAACCAGTGAAAAATCAAATTCTATTGATGGAACCAATGCCTACCATTAATAAAGCATATTCTATGATATTGAAGGTGGAAAAACAAAAATGTTTGGTCACAGTAGGCTCAAATCAATTTGAAGGATCTGCAATGTTTGTGAAAGGAAATATTGGTAGAAGAAATGGAAGGGACAAGGTTTTGCAAGAGGAGGAAGAGGTGTAGGCCGACAATCGTTCAATAATGGAGGAAGAGGAAGAGGCACTCAAAGGTTAAGTAAAGAAGAAAGAGAAAAACTCTACTGCACACACTGTGGTGTCAATGGGCATGAAGATCAGGGCTGTTTTAAGCTAAATGGCTACCCTGATTGGTTCAAGGAGCTAAGAGAACAAAGAAAGACACAAAGTGTGAATATGGCAGAGAATGAGATTTCTTCAAAAGGAGATTCAGAAACCAGATCACAGCACAGTGATTCAATGAGTGATATAAGCTCCTTAATTTAAAAGGAAGTTTCTAAGTACATTTCCAGTCAACAAAATGCAGAAACTCACACATATTCACATTTTGTGGATCACACTGAAGAGGTGGAGGACTATGATTTTTCACTGTTTAACAGGTTGAGCAAAGGAGCTTGGATAATTGATATGGTCTACAAAAGGTTAGTGGTTACCACTCCTGTTATAGTAAATCTTCCTGATGGGACAAATGTTAGAGTGACTTAGAGGGGAGACGTAAATTTCAATGATCATATCACCCTCAAAGATGTTCTTATAATTCCTGAATTCAAATATAACCTCTTGTTTGTTGGCCAATTGGTGGAGAATGATAAGATGAGGTTTATTTTCACAAATGATGGATACAAACTGATGAAGGAAAACAAAAATGTTGATATAGCAGTGGGAAAGGCAGTTGGAGGTTTGTATGTGATAGAAGGACATGATGCCTACATTAATGTTGTTGATGGAATTTCAGCCTACCAACAAGAACTGATTTTTTGGCACAGAAGGATAGGGCATAGTTCAGTAAGCTGCATGAAGCACTTAAGTTTTATAAAGGGAGATAGCAACAAGTTGGACTTAGATTTTTGTGATGTGTGTCACAGGTCAAAGCAGTACAGACTCACTTTCCCTCTCAGCCAAACTCAAAGCAAAGACAGATTTCAACTGTTGCATATGGATGTATGGGGACCATATCTTGAAGATTCTGTCACCAATACATCTTACATGCTCACTATTGTGGATGACCTCACTAGGGCCACCTGGATCTATTTGATGAGGTATAAAACATAAAATCTTACTCATATTAGATCTTTCTTGCAATTGGTGGAAGTACAATTTGGAATCAACGTGAGACAAATAAGAACTGATAATGGAGGAGAGTTCATTAACAAAGAAATGGAGTCACTTTTGAAGAAGAAAGGCATAATTCATCAAAGAACCTGGCCTTACACTTCACAATAGAATGGTGTTGTGGAGAGGAAACACAGGTCAATTCTTGAGGTGGCAAGGACATTATCTTTTCAGTGTAAATTGCCTAAAAATCTTTGGCCTTACAGCCTCTTGGCAGCAGTTCAAATCATTAACACATTGCCTAGTGAGAAACTCAGCTGAAATCTCCTTTTGAACTCCGTCATGGAACTGCACCTGCATATGGGATGTTTAAAGGTTTTTGGATGTCTGTGCTATGCAAGCAAAATTGGCCCACACATGAGGAAGTTTGATGAAAGGGGCATACCTTGTGCATTCCTTAGATACATTTTAGGGACAAAGGGATACAGAGTCTATGATTTTTTACTCCAAGGAGGTTTTTATTTCTAGGGATGTTATTTTCTATGAGGATAAATTTCCTTTTTCAGAAAAGATGAACTCCAATCAACCAAGTCATGGACAACCTCTACTAGTTATTGATGATGCTCACACTCACACACAGCCTGCAACTGCTAATGATCACACTTTTACACAGCTTTCTTCTGACTTGGTGTGTTAGAATTTTAGGTACGGAAATATCCAGATTTCACACGAAGACAAAAAATTAAAATACGCAGCGGAAATAAATAAATACAGAGATTAAAAAATTTAGTCTACAAGTGAATATACACTTATAGACTAAGGCCACATGCCAGAATTTCACTAGAACAAATTAATCACAAAGTTTTTCATAACTTCAAAAACATCTAGTGAACTACGAAAAATAAAACGTGAGTTCGACACAAGATACGAAAGAAAGCAAGCAGATAATTTTTGTTCAATCCGTTAATCAGCAAGAGGCTTCCTTGAAAAATTGTTGCTTGTCCACGCAGGCCTTGAGTTGCCAAAGAGTAACAATGAAGCTACTCCACTTTTTTTCTCTTTTCACGCCACTAGTTCCCAAGAAAAAAATATGTATGTTGTTGCTGCTTCTTTTCAAGAATATGGTTGCTAGCCCACGCATATGCACTGAGCCCAATATAATTGCTGCTATAGTTTTTCTGTTCATCCAAGGCTCTTTTTAAAATCCCCGCAACCCTTGAAAT